CAGTTTCCTGATAGATTTCTGTTTTGATTTTCTGCTGACAGGTCACATTTAGGGCAGGCAAAACATAAGGGATATAGCCCTCCTGAGAGTAGAAAATCTAATTCTAAGGCACCCAAAGTGCAGTCTAATACTACTTCTGAACTGTCAAGGGGACACCTTTCTAAAAGGTAAATCTTCACATTGCTTATACATTTTCAAGGCAGAATTATATGCATTCAAATCATTGCATAGCGTTAAAATTTAATCAGTTTATTCCAAAATGTTGTGATACGTGTTTTCATTCTTCTCTGAGGGTAACTTTTAGGATTAAAAGTTTATCACCTTTGCAGAGATTATTATTGCAAGAAATTTTTTCCTTGTTTAGAGAGCTGTGAGTTTCCTCTTTTGCTTAAGAAACCTTTATAGACATCTAAAGTGCCATCTTGCCATTTCCTTTAATTTTTATTTTCAGAGGCGAAGTTCAAGTCAGTGATTCTTAAGATCTAATTTGTAGGGGTCTTTGGAAAGGAATGTTAGCTGAATATTTGCTAGTACTACAATATAAAAATGTCTAACCTTCAGTTTGAAAGCACATGTTAATGCTTATTTCTTCTAAGCCTTGACAAAGCAGTTGTATTTGTGAATAGAGCATGAACATTCTAATTTCCACTGGTTCTGAACCATAAAGCTTCTTTTTCTTTTAATCTTAATTCTTGTTTTGTGATTAGGAATGTTATTGTCAGTAATCTTTGGGTAAAGAATACGCTTATCTTCTAATAAAATATTTTACTATTCCAAAGTCACACCTGCTTTTTTCCCCCTAAATTTGAACCATTTTAAAAACCTATATTTATTTAATACTGGACTTAGTAGGAAAATTTTTGTGCATTTTTTAAGGCACTTATTTCCAGGGATTTAAGAAGTTAGTAAAATAAATTTTATATATGACAGGTTTAGTGGTGACAGGCTATTAACTCTTTTCTTATCTAACCTCTTAGAAGCTGCAGTTCGTCATCTGCTGTCATAGTTCCACAACCAGAGGATCCAGACAGAGCCAATACTTCAGAAAGACAAAAAACGGGGCAGGTGCCTAAGAAAGACAATTCTCGAGGAGTGAAGCGCAGTGCTAGTCCAGACTACAACAGGACCAATTCTCCTAGCTCTGCAAAAAAACCAAAAGCACTTCAGCATACTGAATCTCCCTCAGAAACGAATAAGCCACATAGTAAGTCAAAGAAGAGACATTTAGACCAGGAGCAACAACTGAAATCTACACAATCGCCATCAACAAGCAGAGCTCATACCAGGAAGAGTGGGGCCACTGGTAGTTCACGGAGTCAAAAAAGAAAGAGGACAGAGAGTTCCTGTGTAAAGAGTGGTTCTGGGTCTGAATCAACTGGTGCCGAAGAGAGATCTGCAAAACCCACCAAGCTGGCTTCAAAATCGGCCGCCTCAGCCAAAGCTGGGTGTAGCACCATCACTGATTCTTCTTCTGCTGCCTCTACTTCCTCCTCATCATCTGCTGTAGCCTCGGCCTCCTCCACTGTACCTCCAGGTGCCAGGGTGAAACAAGGAAAAGACCAGAACAAGGCCAGGCGTTCCCGTTCAGCGTCGAGTCCCAGTCCCAGAAGAAGTAGCAGGGAAAAGGAACAGAGTAAAACTGGTGGCTCTTCAAAATTTGATTGGGCTGCTCGTTTCAGCCCTAAAGTTAGCCTTCCTAAAACAAAACTGTCTCTTCCAGGGTCTTCTAAGTCAGAGACATCAAAACCTGGACCTTCTGGATTACAGGCCAAATTAGCAAGTAAGTTTAGAGAAAGATCTTTTTCTTTAAAGAAAATTTCTCTTGGTTTGTCAAAAGTGATTATGCTTTCAAGGTAGGTTTTTTGGTTTCTTTTGTTGTTTGTGTGTGTGTGTGTGTGTGTGTGTGTGTGTGTGTGTGTTTCTTGTTTTTGTTTTTTCAATCTGAGGCAAGTCTTAGATTTATTACTGTCCCTGTAATTATGTACATAGTAGTATGTAATAACTGGTATTACATTTAGTTTTATGGAGACATATAAGGAATTCTGCCTTCCTATTATTACTAAACCATCACAGTTTAGTGTATCTTTCTTGGTCTTTATCGGGATGGGACATAAAGTTGGATTTTCTTCTATGCCAGATACAAAATTATTTAAGTATGAGTTTTTTAGTTTTGAGTTGCCATGATCAGAGATGAAATAGTCTCTTTGATATTATGTATTATGTATTCTTTTTTTTCTTTTTTTTTTTTTTTTTTAAGTAGAGACGGGGTCTCGCTCTTGCTCAGGCTGGTCTCGAACTCCTGAGCTCAAACAATACGCCTGCCTCGGCCTCCCAGAGTGCTGGGATTACAGGCGTGAGCCACCGCGCCCGGCCTGTATCCTTGATTTATAGAAAAACAAAATAAATGTACCCTGATATAAATTAAACCTTATTCATACTTTATATTTCATGGCCTTTAAGGAGCTAAGTCTAAAGATGAATACCTTTATGTTTTATACAGTAATCTGGGTCCTAGGTGAATGGGAAAGAAAGAATATTGCCTTCTTGAAGTTTACGGTGGAATAGGAAGAACTAATGTTTGAGAATAATACATTCAACCAAAGAAACAGAAACTAGTTGAAGGAAACAGTATTATGTATATTCCTTCATGAGCCAGCCTTGGAGATCTCCAGGCACTTTCCCCCTCTCTTTTTCCCAGAAAACTTCTTCAGGAAGCCAGCTGTTATCTCATTAGAACTGGTGATGACCCTCTTGAATTATGTGATTGCTGTAATGCTAAAGTGTTTCTCCTTTCTTTTCTTTCTATTTTGGGAAATCTGTAACAGGCAACTAGATTTACAATTTT